AAACATTCATTGTGTATTAGTAACATATGTCAGGTACTATGTTAAGTGCAGGACATCAAAAGCACCACAGTCTATGAACAAATTATATAAAAAGCTTTATAAGCATATTAAGGTACCTATTACCCTGACCTCTGGTAAAGCATGTCACAGAATGGGAAAAGTTACAATGACAATGTAGGTAGTCATTAAACAATACAAATTATATTAATAAAATCATGCCAGTGGCATAAATTACCTTTTAATTTTGGCTAAAATTCTTTCAGAGGTTTAGTCAACTACTTAGCACAAAGGGTTAGAAAAGAAGAGTTCTTTGAGTCTGATTCCTGAGTTTTATAACCCAGTTCTTAGTATACAAAAGGTGGTCAATAAAGATTTGTCCTGCCTAAGACAATATGAAAAATAACTGAGCTAACAGTAGTTCAGAGGAGACAATGCCACCTACTGAGAAAACAGCCTCATTACCTGGTATTACCACTGTTGAATACCTAGCATCTTATTTTTTTGTTTGTATTGTTTCTAATGTCTCATCTATTATTTTTCTATTTTCTTAAAAAATAATGTTAAGAATTTTCCAAGTTAAAACTTGATCCTACTTAAAATACTACATGTGTATTCACTATATGTCAATATTCAGGGTAGGAACTGGTAATAAAAATGGGTAATTCTCCATCTTTGCTTCCTATAAACTATAAAAATACAAAGACACTGGGCATAGTTGTGCATACCTATGATGCAGCACCCTGGAAGGCTGAGGTAGAAGGATCACAAATTTGAGCCTAGCCATGGCCATTTTGTGATTTAGCAAGACCCTATCTTAAAGTGAAAAATAAAAAAAATTAAAAAATGAAGATGTAGCTCAATATGAAGGCCCAGGGTTCATTTCCCAATATTGCAAAAGAAAGTTGGATTACTAGCCCCTCAAAAACAAACATTTCAGGAACTAGGCTCATATTACAGTTTAGTGCATCAAACAATGGTGTAGGTTTCAAGATTTAAGCACTGCCTCTAGTTATATATGGATAACAACACCATCTATGTCACAAAATTATTGTGAAAACTTGAATAATGTATATATATATATATATATATATATATATATATATATATAGTACATCATACATTACCAAGAACACAGAAGGTGTTATAATTATTAAATGTAGAATAGCATCCTAGAGACTCAAGGAGACAGATATTAATATCAAACATTAATAGCTAAAGCCTAGCTTCATAAAATTAATTCAGCAGCAGTTTCTCCAACTAGTACTTTGTTATTATGGGAATCCTAAAAGTACATTATTTGTGGTAGTCTGTGACTAAATTTTGTATTACTAGATGATTAACCTTTTCAACACCAGGCAAATAAAACTGCCTTCTGAAAGTTGAAATCATATTTCTTACCAAAAAAAGCAAAAAGCCAGTAGAATGAAAGACACAGGAGACCACAACCTGAACATGTGCTTAACAGAGAAAGATGCTTGCTGACTCTTCACAGATTTTGCTAGAACTGAAAGATGGATGATACATTTAGCTACCACTGTGGTCTCATTCGCAACTTAACTTACAAAAAACTGAGTTGTGCTCCTTTTTCCTTGAAAATGATCAGAATCACTTAACTGTTCTGTGTCTTTTGAATTTTATACCAATAACATTTCATGTCAATCCACATGTATACTTTATTTTCAGAAAGAAATTTTGGGCAAAATATTCTTACATTAAAAAATAAAATGTAAGACAAAGATACAATGGATTAAAAATAATTTTTCCATGAAAAATTTAAAGACTATTTGAATTGAGGATCCTGACCTGTAATGAATAAAATATTTCAGAGTCTGAAACAATTTTTCATTTCTTAAAGATCTACACCATTCACAAGAACTGTGCTCTTAGATGGTTTAAGGTTACTTAACTTCTTCCTAAGGTTCCTCTTTTTAAAAATAGGCAGCAAAGAATAGGGAAAGTGTGTTGAAACATTAGAGTTTTAATTTGTTTGTAAAGGTACACTAGTATATAAAAATTACTAAATTCACTAAATTCAGTGAATTCTAAATTCACTGTAAAAATAATTTTAATTTCATATGATTTAAATATTTTATTTTCTAAGATGCTCATTGTAATCATTCCTCCTTCACATTAAAACAATGTTAATACAAAATATTTTTAACTTTTTTATTTTTTTATTATTTTTTAAACTTTTCTTTTTATTTTTTAAAAATGTTGAGGCCCTGCCCCTTAGCTCAGTTCTTTAAGTGGCTGCTTCAACAAAACAGTCAGGCTCAGGTAGCTGTGGTTCAATTCCCACAGCTCAAGCCAGCCAAACCTGCCCTGAAGGCATTTGGAGAAAAAAAAAAGTTTTTATACTACAATGAACTGACTGTCATTCATTTTATCTTCTGTTTGTTTTAATATAGTGCTTATCAGCCTACAAAGCACTTTTTTTTTTCTTGCAGAACCGGGGATTGAACTCAGGCCCTTGCGCTTGTCAGGGAAGCACTTATTCCACTGAGCCATCTCCCTGGTCACAAGTACTTTTTTTTACTGTAACTGTCTCAGAGTATCCTCTCAAATACCTTCGTAGGGAGGGCAGGTAAGAGTAGCAGCTTTTAACAAATAAGGAAATGAAGCTTCAGAAAAGGTAGCATCTTATGTAAGCAAAGTCACTGAAGTCACAGAACAAGTTAATGGACTGCTAAAGTACTTTGTATTTTTCATTGTACTTCGGGGATGGGCTTCTTACACTATTACCTCCTGTCTAAAAACTAAATTGGAAAATCTAACTACATTGGGCCAATACAATGATAAAATCCATGGTCTGGCAAGATAGCTCATCAATCGAAAGCACCTGCTTAGGCAAGCTTAGGCTGGCGCAGGGGTCTGCATTTCGATCCCTGGTACCACATGACGTGCAGGGCAGGCTGAGTTGGCAAAACAAAACAAAACAAAAATATCCTCAGGAGTGAGGTAGCTTGTTTGCTTTAGGCACTGAGGCCTAGTCTGGTTAAGGTCAGCTATTAGTTGCTAGGCAACCTAGTGTTATGTGTTACTAATTTTGCAAAAGTAGAAATCACCATTTTGTT